AACTACACGACGACCGTCTCCAGAACTACCAAATACTGTTTAGAAGCTATATAATCACAGGCAGAAGAGGAGGAATTCACCCACTCTACCCTGCACCGACGATGTCACCTCGATTGGTGATGAAACGTTTGCAATCCAACTGCCAAGCTCGGCGAACAGACCAACAACCAGATGGAAACTTCGCCAGATGTAACATCCGGGTCATTCGCTCAATTAACAAGACAGTCAATGGGTGCAGTGCACGTACATGCACACCCATTCCATTCATAGTCCGATGACCCCACTCGTCACGTTCAGGTGTCTGAATGTATCGGATCAGCCGAAATCGCTCGGATGTGACCGGATTAGACGACGTATGACACGTATGACCTCGACATCAAAGTGACGAGGACAAGGGCCAAATTCGTGTGATTTGAATAGATCAGTGAGATGGTATTCGTAAGGCGAAGCAGTGTGTATTATGCTGATAGAGTATTTCAAACGTTTGTATAGTCTAACAATAAGTGGACGCCAAGTCAGTTGTACAGGCTGTTGGCTAGAGAATCCATGTTTTTTAGGCAAACGGCGGAGTCGAGGACGTACAATCTGTACTGACTTTTGTGATGCAAACGAGTACTCCGTAGCCTCAATTCAAACACCCTAAGGTTCTGAGATCGACTTCCGACTACACGGACTTATCCTTGCCGCCGATTGTCTGCGAACTGCATACAACTGAAAGAGGTACAGCGCTAATCGACACGCGGGCATCATAGCCCCGTTAGATGAAATTCAAATGGCTGTTAGCGACGCACATGCTAATAAGTTGAACTAGTGCAATGCAACGACCGCATTTTCGGCATATACATGAGGTTCGAAAGTTAACCACTACCCGAAAAACACGTCGCTCTATAAAAGGAAACCGGAACAACCAAACTAGAAGAAACCCGTCCGTTCGCGTCTGTCAAAATAAAAAAACATTCAGCTGTAGCACCGTTTCGGTCCCTACCTGCCATGCCGACCGACGTTTGCACGAGGGCTGGGATACTGTCAGGTTGCCTAAGCCCAGACAGGGAAAGTCGAGAGGCAGAGGCCGGATTCGAACCACGGACCTTCCGGTCAGTAAATTCGCACTCTAACCACTTTGTCAACCACTTCGCCCCTTGCGTCTGTCAAAGAGGGGATTGTTTGAATTGACGAAAGCCGAATGGAGAGCAGTCCGCGAAACAAACCCCGCGAGAAAATTATAAGACCATCCGTACAAATAATTGACATACTGATGACAACCTTTCGCTGCATTGGTGCCATGCTACCCGAAGGAAGCACGAGGGATGAGATCCTGTCAGGTTGCCCAAGCCTAAACAGGAGCAGTCGAACTGCAGAGGTTGGGTTCGATCTACGGACATCCGGTCACTTTGACCACTGAGCCATCTCGAGGTCATTCAATCATTTGGGAAATGTCGACGCACAAGTTACTGGTTCAAAAAAGTTAGGTAAACAACCTATTAGGAGAACCAGCGTCGAATGCAACTGAACTACACAACTGCCAATGGAATGACCGTTTTCGTGAAGTCATGGGGCGAGATGGACCAAGTGGCTAGAGCGCGAGTTTACTGACCGGAAGATCCGTGGTTCGAACCCGACCTCTGCCACTCGACTTCTCCTGTCTAGGCTTGGGCGACCTGGCAGTATCCCAGACGTCGTGACTCCGTGTGGCATGGCGGCTAGGCACCGAAAGGGTGCTACAGCTGGACGATTTTATTTCGTTGGATCTTCACTTGCCCTTGACAGATAAGTTCTATTTTTAGTATCACTCTTTTGTCCGCCTAGTACGTTCCACAAGAGCTTTCGGTTGCAGACGACGCGCTTGTACGCGTCCAGGTTCAATAGATCAGCTGATTTGCACGTTCATTGCTTTCTGGTTGGGATAAGCTCACCAGGCTATTCAGCAGCTATCCAGACTCGCGTTAACGGTATTAAAAAGGCGTTAAGAAAACTGTAGTTCACAACACAATCGATGGGATTATTGTTGGGTTATGCTTCGCTTTTTACGGATAAGTTAACCGGGCAATCGGGTTTTGAGTACGTGCTCTTCCGGTATAGGGTACTGTAGTGAAATATTTCTCAGAGGTATCGGTCGGATTCGGCTTTAGACTCAGATCACTTGACTCCACTTTACCGATAACCCTACATCACCACACACCAACCAGGCTACTGCGAGACCGTTTTCCGTATTAACTTGCCAGTTCTGCACCTTCTGTTCTATTCAGGCGGGGATGATTAGCGATTTCTGTCTCCTCTGCCACCAGTCGTCGCGGTGTGAGTTTAGCCTAAAAAAAAATATATATATCCTTAAGTGTCCAGTGCCTCCCACTAACGAGTCTATAACTCCCACGTTTGTTGGTGAAAGGTTGGTATTTATCATACGGTGACGGTCAAACGGTTGAAACATACAGGATGTGTTCCGGTGGTCCCCAACACTCAAAGTACAGGAAGAGCTGGGATGCTGTTAGTTAATAGTCACCTTGATCTGTCGATGGCTTCAAGCACCGTTGTGGGTTGAGTACTCCGGGTGTTCAAGATGTCTAAGCGGATCGTGGCCTCAGAGTCTGTCTGTCTGAATGGCGCCCCAGCCAGGGCACACACTGGGACCGTGTGAAGCAGATGACGTCAACAGTCGATGCACCAATGGAATCTCAAAACAGGCGATGAATGTCGGTAGCTTCTGTGGTCAGAAACTTATATGAGCTAGAGACTTCTAGTAGGGTTTCATATAAAATGGGTGGTAGAACTTGCCAACGACCCAACAACAAATGAACCCCCCCCCCCAAGCTGTAACACCGTTTCGGTGTCTAGCTGTCATGCCACACGAGGAAAGTGTGAGGACTAAGAGAGTGCCAGGTTGCCCTAACCGAGACGGTAGTCAACAAGCTGAGGTTGGGTTCGAACCACGGACCTTGCAGTCAGTACGTTTACACCTTATCCGCTGAATAAGCTCGAAGTTAGCAGGGGATGACCATGAACCATCAGCCGTTCCAGTCAGTCTGACCTGGCTCGATTGCTTGGGATCATCTCAGAAGACAGAGAGATGCGAGGAACAAGTGCGTTTCACGCTTGGGACCGATTTAGCTAATTCACATCCTTGTACCAGTTACACGGAAGGAAACCTGTGGGCGGGACAACAAAAGAAACCAAAATCCAGTAACTGCTACGCAGCAATGCTTACTTTGTACTTGGAGTACTTTGGTCCACCACGTCTCACAAAAGTTTCCCATAAATGCGAAAATGGACCATGGCCTTTGAGGGAAAAGGAACAGATAATAGTAGATGGAAGAACGTACCAAATACAGGTTACGCAATTGTTAGCGGGAACACAAAGGTGGGTTTCCTTAGTAAAACGGGATTCATACATTTCTGCTTTGTAAACAGCGTTAAAATGAACATGTCCTGTCAACTATACAAGAAGCTCGGTTGAAAAAAGTTACTCATGGGGAAGTTTAAGAAGAAAGCTCGCATGTGAATATGCTGACGTATAAACCTGAAAATCGCTGATAGAAGATACTAATAACCGAAAGTTCATGTGCGTCCAAAGTTAAACAAAACCCCACCAAGATCATGGCACAAAGCGGCGATTTTCACAGCGGCCTGTTCTTGTGAAGTCATTTTTGGTCCTGTGTAGATTGGGTCGGATTGGATTGCCTCGGTTAACCGCTTGGCCATGTGATATGTTCCGATTGAATGTTCGAATCGTGTGTGTTGACAGCTAGGGAATACGAAATAGCTGAGCCCAAGCTGGCGGACTTCTCTGAGTCGCTGAAATTCCGGAGTGTCCACTATGAGTCGAGCCAAAGGCTCCAACTCAATCATTCCATGGACGGCGTCCTGCACAATCTGACAATGGGACAGGAAACAAAAGTAAGGGACATTTACCAAGGTTGCACAGATTTGTACGAATTATTTCGAAAGAAATTGCTCGTGAACTTTTGAGAAGACAACCACTCTGCCATTGGCCACTTAGCTCCGGAGAGCTATTAGCGAGCAACAGTACAATGTCAAGGGTTGGCTACAGCTGTACTGATTACGACTTGAGAAACGGCTTCGCTTCCAACCACTCCACCAACACTCACACAACAGCCCAATTAGGTAAATTTATCTACCCTGCCGACTGATTGGTCACGCAACATGATGTATAAGTCTGCAGCACTTTACACTTTGCTAATGTGGAGCCCATGCGGCAGAATTATTCAGGCTATTGAAAGTGGGTTGTATCTCCAAAGGATATGATGCAAGGAAGGCAATAGTCTCTACATACTGCGTCAATTCGCGAACGCCCCGGGGAGCATTTCGATCCCCGAAGTTGCAAAGATAGACAGAAGAGCTTCGGGCCGCGCATCAATAGAAAAGTTGAACAGGAACAGCGAAAGAGGACAGTCCTATTTCCCGCTACTAAAAGTGACATCACTTTCATTGTTAAGGGCCAAGTGGATCAGGGAAGAGGGCAACCAGTGCGGAGGAGCCTTAAAGACTGCACTGACCAATAGACCTGAGGAACGCCAGATGATTTTCGAGAAGAATAACTCTTTCTTAATAAATCGGACGGTCACTACATGTTATACCGGTTAGGCCACATATATCGTATGCTAAAGTACCCTTTTTTCTGGTAGAGTCCTGTTCGTACAGTCATGTGAGGGGGGGATGAAGACGAGTCAGAGGCGACCAGTTAATGGTCTGGCAACGAGACACGAAACCACTAGCCAGTCAGCTAAGTTGCGTACATATAATATAAATGTGACCAGTCAGTTGTGGCATCTTTTCGGTGCAGAGCTACCGTGAAACTCAAATGAAGCACGAGGACTAAGATACTGTCGGATCGTCCAAGGCTAGACCGAATCAAAGGCTGGATCTTCCGGTCAACAGTCTCACGCTCTAACTGATGAGCTATCTCGAGTCGAGAAGGTAAACACCATCTTCTCAGATGGGATGCCAAGGCGAGATAAGCCAAGTTATCGATCCTGACGGACATGGCTGTCACACAACCAATGGAGGTCATGCATCAAAACTGTTACTCTCCACGCCTAGCTCTCCCTCCCTCCCTGATCCGAATGGAACAATCTGCTATCCGTGATATGATTGGGCCATCACTTCAAACGCGCGGTTTTCATTCCCATATTCTTCTTAAATTTAGTGAACGAAAACCTTAGCAGACTGCACCTTGGTATGTGGTTGGTAGCTGAAGAACTGATTAGCCGTTTACTAATGGAAACCTAGAAGTCACATCCACATACGTGTCCGGTACGCTGTGTTCATTATACTGCGCTTTCACCTGGATCTTCACGCCGAGAACAATTCTGGTAAATACTAGTATTCAGAATAGTTTCACACACCCGGATTTGGAAGAACCCTTATCACACTTCGTTGATTGGTTTTATTCCTACTAAGTATATAGTGAGCGAGGAGTATGAAGGAGATCACGAAACGCTTGGGTGCTGTCGGTGCTACTCGCCTTCCAGGATGGGGACCGCGTGATCCTCACTGTGCCTGGTTGGAGACACTACAAGATATGGCTGCCAATCGATGTCAGTGGCGTTCTTGTTGCCAGTTTCTATCCAGATTGCCTGAGTGAATGTCTGGAGGTGTAGGCACCTCGGAATGATTGTGTTAAGCTAGCACTAAGTCCCTCCCCCATCCACCTTTATTCTTTTCTTCACAATAAGGCTTTCAAATAAGTCATGGTTGTACGGCAGTGAAGCATCGGTGTTGAACACTGATGTCATGCTGTCGATGCTGATGATGATGATGATGATGATGAGCGAAGTATGCCCGTGCCTGTCCAACACTGAATGTCTCGGTAAGGACGCGTTTTGTTTACGCGCATCGGCAAACTGAAAGAAGCTGGAGTGGTTAAACCAGATTGAAAAGTGATAACAAGCCCCTATTTCCACACCTGGATAAAATTGGCTCGTTCAGACTTTCAAACCGGGGTCTACAGAAAAGAACGTAATATAGCTGAAACTTCTTACAGGATATCATGGTACAATGGACGCTTACCAGGTGGGAAATAGAAATTAAGAAATACTCAGTTGTAACATCCTTTCGGCGGGAGAAAGGCGAGATGGATCAGTGGTTAGAGCGCGAATTCACTGGTCCGTAGTTCGAATCCGAGCTCTGTCTCTCGATTTCTCCTGTTTAGGCTTGGACAACCTGGCAGTATCCCAGCCCTCGTGCCTCCTTTGGGTGGCACGACAGCTAGGCACCGAAAGGATTCCTAACTGAGGAAAGGGCTGAGATATCGTCCGGGTGCTTAAGCCTAGACAGAAGCAGTCGAGATTCCGGAGATGTGTTTGAACGACGGACATCCCGGTCAATAAGTTCACCCTTCAACCACTGAACCATCTAGCACTCAGATCATAACACGGTGCGTATCAAGGAAATCAAATTCATGTCATAGACAAAACTGGGTACTCATTGTGTCAAAGCTTAGGCTAACAAAACTATCTATTACGTCTATTGGCCCGTCTGCAAACGTGAGGTTTGGGCGTGATGCCATCCAGTCTTGCAGTAACAGGTAAGAAGCGCTTACCAAAACATGCGCTAGAATTTTCTAAGTCATTTAAAGTGACTTGAATATATCAAGGATGTGAACCGAGGAGTGCAATCTCGTCCACATACTCAATGTCTGTATGCGAACACCAATGGAGCATTTCGATTACCGAGGTTGCGGTACCAGGCTGGAAAGTTCCAATAACAAAGTTGAAAAGAAACGGTGACAAAGAACAGCCTCGTCCTAAGCCACTGGATGTTGTGAACTCGGACAAAAACTTGCAGTATACTCGTGCGCACACGTGGTATTTCGCATATAATTATTATCATCAACACTATCAGCATCAACGGTAAAAACCACGTACTTACCGTACGCAGTTCATACACCTGACAGTCCCATTCGTCACTGAGTTGAGGAACTGAAGTAGATAGCTACGCATTGGAGGCAGTAGCTGATACAATTAATGAGCGAATAAAGTGATGTCAGTCCACCTTTCACTGGGAAGATTGGAAAAGGATTTAGGTATTGAAGGCAACAGATTGGATGCATGTGCGTCACTGAGTGCGCGACCAACCTATATCTGACAATGGGTATGTTCTGTTTCGGGAGCCCAATTCACAGAGACGTCAACGACCAGTGCAGTTGAGTTTTCAGATGATGGCTTTCAATCTTTGCTGTCAAGTCATTGTTTGGCTTCCTCTGGTTTGTTCACACCGTTTAAGGAGTTGCATGAAAAAGGCTCTCGGATGTAGGCTGAATGGCTTACGGAACACCTGACCAAACCAGCACAACCTATGGAGTGTGGTCATCCGCCATGCATGAGTTAATTTTTCCAAACACCATTCGACGTACTTCAGCACTACTAGTTTGATGTTCCTACCAGACTCGGTCGATGGTCCGAAGACCGATGATCGAATACTGAAAGCTGTTTGAAGCTCTCAGCTGTCAGCGGCTGGGTTTCTGACCATATAACGATATGGGGTGCACCGCAATATCATGAACTCGATATTTGACAGATAAGATGACGTCACTTCTGCGCAACATGTGATGCGGGCTCGAAAAGGTTACTCTGGTCTTTTCAATCTGAGTAAGAATGTCGTGTTTCACTAGACCACCGGGAGTAAGTAATCGTTCAGAAGTAACACCGTTTTGGTGCCTATCTGCCATGCCACCCGAAGGAAGCGTGAGGGTTGGGATACTGCCAGGTCGCCCAAGCCTAGACAGGGTAGGTCGAGAGGCAGAGGTCGGATTCGAACCAAGGACCACCGGGAGTGATTCCAGTAACCGAGTAGAGGAATTTGTCAACTACCTCAATGAGCTCACTCGCAGCATGAGGCTAGGATTGGAGCCCGCCCGGTCTTACCACAGCATTTTTCACGTTGTAGGTGTGAAGCGCATGCCAAGCCATAAGACAGAATCGTTCAGGTTATTCAATGCTGTCTGCATTACAATGGCAGCAAACTCAAAACCTGGGTCATCTGTGTGATCCATATATGCGATCAAACGACCTGGATGAATTTCGACCTCAAAAGCCTGAGAGGCTCGGAGTGAGTATTCGATGGTCATATCAATGATGAAGTTGAAATGGAAATGTAGAAGACGACAGCCTTACCTGACATCACTCGATGTAATAAAATCAGACGAGGACTATTCGTAGACCACTCGTCCGTGATGGTTGGCGTACAGAGCCTTAAGGAGAGCCAAGGAGTAACGGAATATTCCTTTGCTCCTCTTCTGGCATGCGGAGTACGTTCTCACTAGTGTAACCTATGAAGTGTGAGTAATTCGTTTATCGCGAAAGATTCCCTTCTTCCCAAGACCATCTGATGTACCTTAGCATTGCTAGTTCGATGTTCCCACAAGACCTGACTAATGCTTCGGAGACACTGGTGGTCAAATACTGACATCTCTCACGTAGAGGCCACGTTTCTGATTCATAGAGCAGTATGGGTCACACTACCGTAGTGCAAACTCTGCCCTTGATAGATAAACTAACGTCACGTCAGTGCTACAAGTGTCGGAGATTGGCAAAAGCTGCCCTGGTGTTTCCGATTCGAGAAATAATCTCATCTCTAGTCAGCCAGCAGGAACTTGTACAGCTGGCCAGGTAAACAAATTTATCTACCACGTCGATTGACCCGCCTGCAAGCATGATATGTAGGTTTGGCCCCACCAAGTCTTATATCAGCATTTTACACTTTGCAGATATGAAGTGCATGCCAAACCGTGGGGCAGAATTATTTAGGTTATTTAAAACCGTCTGCATTGGGGACGAATCAGAACCAAGGAGAGCAAAGTCGCCTGCATGCTCAGTGTCCGTGAGCGAACGCTTCACGAGCATTTCGACTCTCGAGGTGTATGAGGCGGGCAGAGAAATTTCAAGCGGCATATCAATAACAAAGCTGAAGAGGAAAGGTGAGAGAGAACAGCCTTATCTCACACTACCTGACCTGGCGAACTCAGGTAGAGGCTTCGCGTATACTCGTACGCACCCACAAAGGTTGGCATATAGTGTCGTCATAAGCTATATAAATTTGGAAGGGACGCCTTTGATCGACACTGCCAAAGGTGCTGACGATCGACAGAGTCAAAAGCAGTTTTTAAATAAAGAAAAACGACCAACGAGGGACATCTTAAGGAGTGGCGCTGTTCAAGCATTTGTCTCAAGGTAAACATGGTCGATGCATCCTCGACCAGGGCGAAACTTACGAATCTGTCTCTACCAATAATCCGTCAACCTGTGCAAAACAATGTCAGAAAGCATCTGGGGATGACGGTCAAGAAGCTCCATTCGGTTAGTATAGTGTTTTCGTTACAAATCTTCTGCAGCAGGGTTGCCAAACTGTTCACCACGACCTGGTCACTATCTTTGAATAGCGCAGGGTGTAAACCATCCGAGCCTTGTCGCGCTTCAGGATTGAAATCGCATGCTGAACTTCGGTTGCTGATTGTAGGATGGTGTCAATGTTCAGTTCTGTCCGCTTGGCTCCTCCAGACGTTGAGGGAGACCAGCTGAACTGTTTTTCGAAGTGTTCAACTTACTGCTCAAGATGACGATTGAGGAACTGAATTGCTACTCCGTCTTTTTCGCATATCGTCTCACTGACACCTGCCTTCTTTTGACCGGTTGATCGTATCTGCAGCGGAAACCTTCTCCATCTCCTGGGCCTTCGAAACGTACAAAAGTTGTCTGTCGTTCTTCAAACTCCTGATTATCTGGTGTTTGAGGGGTGTGTGCGCCATCATAGTCTCCAGTTGCTGGTACGGCCATTCTGGCAACAACAAGATATCCAGTGTTCATTTAGTGGAGTCAGATGGCCTGAACAAACAGCTCTGAAAGCTGAGATCCTCCACTCAACCTCCAAGCAATCTTCGTCATCCACATAACTATGTAATTCCAGTAGCTTTCTAGCTGCATCAGCTCGTTACTCTTCAGTTACTAAAACTTGTTGAAGTTGATGAAAGGAGTTGCTCCCCTTTGGCACACATAATGCTGACGCAAAGCGAAGTGTTAAATAGGCCCACGCGATGACGTGATCAGAGTCAACTTGCGTACCCCAGAAGGAAGGAGTCCTTAAATGAGGTTCTCTATCGGTAAAAGATAGCCACATGGTCCAATTGAGTCCACGACTGTCTTGTGGTAGGTAGCCTCCAATTAACTCGATGCGTGCGTTTGTGTTCGGAGTTCGTAAGAACGGACGATGATCTGCACACAACTGAAGATGCCCCCTCCATTATCCGTGCGCTCAGCATCGACTCCAAATTGACCGTCTAACTGTGCTTCTCCCGGACTTAGTTGTCCAACTTGGATTACTATATCCGTCCGTCCGAAGCAGTCGTGAAAGATCTTGATGAAAATCGTCCTTCTCAGTCTCAGAACTACTATCTGTTGTGGCG